TCCCCAAAATACCACGCACAAAATAATTAGCCACTCGAGGCTATAGCTCTGAAAGACCCTCCGGTCAATGTGTCTCAGTGGGACCCTCCATTCTCATGGCTCGTTGGACCCTCTGGTCCGGTCTCTATGAGGATCCTCTGGTCTCACTGCTCGTTGGACCCTCCGGTCCGGTTTTAGTGAGGAGCTTCCGGTCTCATGGCTCGTTGGACCCTCCGGTCCGGTCTCAACAATACATAATATAGCACATATATCATACTGTCAAGATGCATAAGATCACATAACTCAAATAAACACATAAGACCCTCCGGTCACACATAAGTACCACTCTAGGTAAAGTATAGTGAGAAGACTCACCTCGTAAGCTAGTAAGAAAAAGTCTCGTGCTCAGAATCCTCGATCTAGCCTCTGCCTATCACAAGGATAATATTTCTAATTACTTCTCTCCATCTACTCAATTACACCAAACGTTTCTCTCTCTTACACTCTAGTGTTAGAATTGGGTAAAAGACCATTTAACCCTTTACTGACCCTCATCACTCATTTGACCAACCCCTAAGTCAACAGAAGTCAATTCCAGTCAACAGTCCAAATTGACCACTCGTCGAGTGCACTCGTGCGACTCGTCGAGTCCCACCGATTCTCGACAATCTCATGAAGGTCCAGCCCGTTGAGTCAACCCCTAACTCGCTGAGCTTTCGCCTGATCCAGCTAATCGGGACAACCCTAATCTACTCGCCGAGTCGGTTCATCAACTCGGCGAGTCCATTCAGACTCAACTTGCATTTAGACGACTTTAAGGCAGGATACTTTCCTAAACTCCAGATCCATACTCTCAGGGCTCATTTACCACGTAAAGTCATAGAATTTACGTCCATGCATGACATTTTGGGCATGAAATGCCAAGAACATGATCTAAATGGGTTTTTCACTCATAAATTCCATCAAGACTGAATAAAGCAGGAACCTTTAGATGCTAGGGACCTCCTACGGTCCAGATCTGGAGTTCAAGCCTCCACATGAACCCCAAATCCTCAAAGTCCCAAAATATAAAGAAAAGAAGCCCTAATCTTCAAAATGAGAGATCTACTCAAATAAAAGAGAAAGGTTCGAACTTGATACCTCTAAAAGAAGCTCTTGGACGTATAAGCAGTAGATCTATCAGTCTCTTCACAATCCTTGCTTGGAATCTTCCTTTCCTCTACCAAAATGCACTCACAAATCTCAAGAAGGCTCAAAACTCTCTCACAAGCTCAAGGGGGCGATTAGGGTTTCTTCTCAGTGAGGTGTGGCCGCAAATGAGGCCATAAGTGCCTTTAAATAGGTCCTAAACCCAGGGATCTAGGGTTTCTACTTACAGCGCCTACTCGGCGAGTCTACTCTCGGACTCGTCGAGTAGTTCATTAAACTCACGTGGCCACCCCTGCTTCTACTCTACGAGTTATAGCACCAACTCGTCGAGTAGATCAATGATCCTCAAAAATAAATACGTAAAAATAACATACCTGGGAATTCGGATGTTACACAGACAGGTCGATGCTCTTGGTTTCGTTACTCGTTAGAGTTAATTGGTGATGAAGTTCATTCTCTAGTAGAGCTATTTCAGAACAATCCAGAGATTGACTGATCGAAGAACATCTATGACTAATTCTCACAACGAGATACGTGATCTAAAGATCTGTAAAAGTACAAACACTTCGCAGTAACTAAGATCTCAAGGAAATAATGTCATAATGTCCAAGTTAGAGTTCACTAACAAAGAAACTCTATATCGGAAAAAAGAACTCTAGATCCACACAATGTACATCAATAATCCAGAGTTTTATGAGCAAAACCATAAACTAACAAACTGTGTAAATCTACAAGGATCGAAAAGAGAGCAACAAAAGATTTAAAAAACGAAGGATCGAACTACCTCACAAGCCGGAAGATCGTTCACAGCATCGTTGCTTGACGGGAAAAAATCAAAGCACCTCATGGCTTTGATACCATGTTAAAAAACGTATTAACACACACGATTACAACCTGAATAACTTCCTTTATTACGAGAAACCAATTTGATACATCGACACTTTACAACTCTATACCTCACTACAAACATCTTAACCTACTCTCTTTACAAATCACTCAATTAGTAACATATAATGAATACAAAACGTATGAACCCTAAAAAGATAGAAACCCTAATCCTAAAACTAGATAGAAAACGAGAGTATCTCAGTGATTTTGAGTGTAAATATATGCATGTGTTATGAGCCTGTCCAACTACAGCAACATATAAATACTCGAGGTCAAGGATTGACCCATGGATCAAAAGATCTACTATCTATTCAACCATCTTTGAAGAAAGTAAGCCGCAACCCACCACAATTACAAGCATGGGTGGAGCCACCAACGGTAAGCCTTAGGCCCACCCTCAAAATTTAAAAAATCTTTTATTTTTTGCTTATATATATATATATATATATATATATATATATATATATATATTAATATATTAATAAGGAACACCCTAAAAAATTTATAGCTTCGCCCTTAATTACAAGACTTACATTTAATACCCTTTAAACAAAATTATCTCAACATCAGTCCCAAAGAACCTACAAATGAACCCCTGCAATATTAAAACATACACACACATATCCAAAACTAACATAAAAGATGTTAAGTTTGAAACTATAAATATTTTGTTATTTCAATAGATATCACCTAGTGGGGACTCGTGTTCTTCCTTTTTCTTTTTTATAACGGATGTTATCTATGAAAACAGTCGCCTTACACTAAAATAGATGTTTCCTATATTAGATAGATGTTTCCTACATTTTAACTCCCTTTACACTATACTACCCTATTCTTATGTAGAGTGTTGCATTAATCGATTGGAGTTTTTGTTTAAGGTATAATAGGAAGTATTGCATTTTTGACTCTTTATCTATTTCACGTTTTAGTATTAGACTAGATTTCTAATTCTTCTAGTATAAAATAGGTGTCAATGACCATTAGTTTTAAATGTAATTTCCAGCACTTCTGTTTCTTTTAACTTTGTGAGAAAGTAACTTTTCCTTCCCAAAATTTCTACTCACTGTTTCGTTTTGTTTCTGCACAAAAAGAAATTGTTTTAGTTTATTTACTTACACTTGGTATCAGAGCTAGGGCTCGTGAAGACGTAGGGCAGCCGGTTTAAGAGTCGGTTTCAAGAAAACTATAGCCTTTTGCTACAGGGGCAGACGCATCGAGAATCGGGTACGTTGAAAGAGGTGTGATTCGGTTTTGATTGCAAGAAGCCCCGGTTTCTCTTGAGTTCTAAGGTAACGAGAGACTAACCAGAGACAAGAAATAAACGGACGGGAAGACATCAAAGCGGGTGACTTTGATTCGATTCGTTTTGCGGGTGACGGAAAACGGTGAAGGTGGTTATGACCTTGTCTTGTTGTTCGGTGGAAGAGTGCTCTCAGAACAAGCTTGATTAAAGAGTCGGGGTTGTCAAAAAGAGAATAAGATGTCGTTGGTTAAAGAAGGAGGTTCGGTGACGTATCAAGTTCCGGTTTTGACTCCAACGAATTATCCAGTGTGGGCGGTCAAAGTCAAGTCAATTATGCATGCACACGACATATGGGAGACAGTTGAACCGAAAGCATTAGGTGAAACATCGGATCAAAAGAAGTCAAAACAAGCTCTTGTTTTTTTGTTTCAAGCGATACCCAAAGACATGGTGTTGCAAATGGCGAGTTACACCGATCCAAAGCAAGTGTGGGATGGGCTAAAAACACGGTATTTGGGAGTGGATCGGGTGAGAACGGCTCGGCTTGCCACCTTAAAGAGGGGAGCTTGAATGTTTGCGCAAGAAGGAAGGGAATCGGTCGATGATTTTGTGACAAAATTATCCGGTTTAGCTTCAAAAACAAGGATTCTTGGTTACGAGCTTGAAGAAGTTGATTTGGTGAAAAGGCTACTTGATTCGATGCCTAATTCGTTTTTTTAAATCGTGGCTTCAATAGAGCAATGTTTCAAGTTGGATTTAATGTTATTTGATGAAGCGGTTGGTAGATTAAAGGCGTATGAGGAGCTTATAAGACGAACTGAGAAAGTGGATGACATTCAAGGTGGGTTGTTGTTGACTAGTGAGGAAAAATCACATATTTGTAAGCATCGTGACAATGGACGTTCAAATCGGGATGACTTTGGACGTGGTTGGGGAAGACGTCAGGGATCCAGGAGAAGTCGAGATGGCAATGAACGTGTCTGGGACAAAAATCACGTTAAATGTTACAAATATGGTGAGTTTGGTCACTATAGCAACGAGTGTCCTAAAATGGGAGAAACAAGAGACAAATATACTCAAAGAGGATCCGGCATTGTTTTAAATGAGTGGCTAGTATGACCAAACCGATTAAGGGGGATGATTGTAGTATTAATCGGTTGGAGTTTTAGATTTAGGTATAATAGGAAGTTTTGCATTATTTGAGTCTTTATCTATTTCACGTTTTAGTATTAGACTAGATTTCTAATTCTTCTAGTATAAAATAGGTGTCAATGGTCATTATTTTTAAATGTAATTTCCAGCACTTCCGTTTCTTTTAACTTTGTGAGAAAGTAACTTTTTCTTCCCAAATTTTCTGTCCAGTGTTTCATTTTGTTTGTGCACAAAAGAAATTGTTTTAGTTTATTTACTTACATAGCGTTGTTGTCGCTGTTGTCATACAAGATCTACAAAGATGAAAATTGAAATGGACCAAACTCAAGACTGGATTAAAAATACAACACAAGCCCAAATACTTTTCTTCAAAATAAGAGGCTTGCAAAAAGAAACCCGCAAACAGAAATATAAAAGATACCACTTCCATTTTCTAAAACACTTTGCTTTCTATGTTTCCACCACAACAACACTACCCCGATCCCATAAGAATGGGGTTGCACACCAACAATCAAATTGATATTATTCATAAAAACATGATAATTCATTTCAAGAGAACCAGTAATAATCACTTCACCGGAAACCTGCCTTATCGTGGCGGTGGTGGCGGCAACACCAAGGAAACAGATTCGTGTTTGTTCCTCTCATGAAACCTCCTAATATAATCCGAAGCCTTTAAATTCGTCACTGAAGCCTTTATCTCATTTGTTTGCATACCACTATACCTACTTACATCATCTGCTATGGCAATGTCATGGTGGTCCATTCCCTGAATCTTGATGAAAGAAGAGCTCCCTCCTCCATCTAATCCATCCACATTGTGGCTATTTGGCGGTTTTGTGGTGGGGTTTTTGGGTTGTTTTACTATTGGGTGGTGGCTATGTGGCGGTGAAAGTGAACTAGTTGACCTAATATCGGTTCCAGTAAGGGGGGATGATGACAGTTTGTGGAAGCTTCTCATGATTTGCATAAGCTTCTCACAGGGTGATCTTTTCTTATGAATGGACATGTTTGAAGTGGATTTGAGTAATTTAAATAGAAACCCACATGTGTATTTATACAATCTGTGTTGGGAAGTTTCGTATATGAAAAGACATTGAAAAAATAGGAATTATTCTGTGGGGTATATTTGTTGCTAAAACTAATTCCTTCAAAGTATAATAAAAACAAAGAAAAAAAAAGTGAAGGCCTTTTTCGTTTGTTGAAAAAATGAATGAGAAAGGTAAAGGGAAAGGAATAAACTTTTGAGAAACCACATCCCTGGACTATGGAGGGAGATTGAGTTGTCATTTTGAGATATAACACAAACTAAATGATTAAAATTTTATCAAAATAATCAAGAAGTCATTCGAAGCACGATTTCGACAATTGAAGTTTCAACTTCTTGGGTATTTTCCCTTTTTGGGACTTTCGAGAAAAAAAAAGCAAAAACTAAATTTTATGAACGACTATTTTTTGTTCCATTGAGACTTCAAACAAGATTCTTGAAATAATCTTTTCCATTTTGTCTGGTCTCGTTTTCAAAATCGTCTTCCGACACGTTTCTTTCAACATACTTTTAACATACATAAATGTTTCGTTAATTGTTAAACTCTAAATTGCTGTCTCTTTTTAACTTAAGAAGGACATATCTTAGGTGTTTCTTTTTTACTTAGTTGATTCGGAAATAAACGACGTAACGAAAAAGGTTTTAGTGGACGGCGATTTTGAAGCCCAGATAACTGATTTCGGGCTAGCCCACCTTGTGGGGGCCGTGATTCCAAAAATAGTTCGTTTGAAAACAGTGATTTGGGCAAATTCAGTTACGTGGCCCCCAAGCATTCATCTACCATGGTTGCTTCAATGAAAGCTGATTTTATGGTTTTGGAGTTGTACTTTTGGAACTTGTAACTGGGTAGAAACCGCTCGAGGTAAATAACGAAGAGGAAGGAGGTTATAAGGCTGGAGGGAGTGGTAGCATGTGTTAAAACATTGTCACCTCATATTTTTATGGACAACTAAGCAAAATATGATGACATGGAGTAGTGATGTGTTTAGAAGGTAAATATTTTTTTTATTAAATAAAATATATTTTTATTTAACTATTTAAATAAAATAAATTATGAAAAGTGTACAAGTTGTTAAAGCTAAAATTACAACCGTTTGAAGCTGAAGTACTCAAATAGGGACCACTTATCTTCTCTTTCCTCTCGCCAGACAACTAGCGACCTACTCTTGGCAACCCTGCTTAGCACAGGATAGTGAGTGGTGGCGAGGCTTTAGCAAGTGCTTGGCGAGGGAGGATGGCGAGCCACTCCCTTTAGCCTAAAGGTCATTTGGTGGAGTGGGTGAATCGGCTTATGGAGTCGGCTAAAAGTAAGGACGTGATTGATAAATGTATACGTGGAAAAGGGCATGATGATGAGATTTTGCAGTTTTTAAGGATTGCTTGTAGTTGTAAGGAGTTTAAGAAAGAAGGTTTTAGTGGACGACAACTTTAAACCTTAGAAGATCGGTGGTTTTTGTTGATGGTGTATTATTATTTTTTTCAACAACAGCCATAAATTAAAAACAAAAACTAGCTAGGAGCTAGCAACATACAAAGGACACACTAGTTAAGAATTAAGTTTTTCAGCCATCCAATCCAATTCTTCCTAACTTTAAAGTTTCTAGCACAAAACCAATTAAAAGAAAATGCTACTATATTATCGAAAAGAAAATCCTTCCTATACTTGTTTTGGCGAAAAATCAGAACATTCCGATAAGTCCAAAGAACCCATATGACTGTCATACACACCGAGTCCAAAGTCATACGCTTCAAACAAGCTACACAATTCACTTTGTCGTGGACAAGAAACAATCGAAAAGAAGAAGTTGTATTTCCACCCAATTCACAATCTGCAACTGAATCGGACAAGCGAGAGAACACTTGAAGAACAAATGATTAACATCTTCAACATCATCACTACACACCGGGCACAATGTTTTTTGAAACTATCGCGTCATTTTGTTGGTGGTGTATACAAGGGAGTTTAAGGTCCCATTTGGAATGTATTTGTATGCTAAAAGATTCTTGTCTTCAACCATGCAAAACCCTAATAATGGGATTAGATTTGGCCATTTGGGTGTCTTAATTGCCCCAATTTGTTCATGTCGGATCTGAACTATTCATCGTGGATTTTACAAGGGCTTAACCGTTTGATTGCTAGAACGGATCCGTCCTGCAACATTGCTCTGTAACATATCCAAGCTCTTGTTATAAGCAGACTCCACATCTCAACATGATGGGGCCGCCCCTCAAATTAACATTTATAAAAGATAAAAGAAATTTAAAAAGATAAATGAGTCATTTCATATTGGTGAGGACTAACTGCCTCGTTCCCGAGTTTAACAAAAAGAAAAGAAGAGAAAAGAAAGTCATTAGAGAAAAGAAGAGAAAGGAAAGGAAAACAAAATTTTCTTTTGTGTTCCCGAGTTAGAGAGAAGTGGAAGGAAAATGAATCATTTTGTTCTTTCTTTCCAAATCCTCCCAAATCGGAAGGAAAGTTAGGAGGGAAAGTGATCCTCCCATTTCCCTCCACTTCCCTCCTTTAATAAAACTCGGGAACACCAATTTCTTCTATTTTCTTCTCATTTCCATCCATTTCCTTTCCTTTCTCTCGTTAAGTTGAACTCGGGAACGGGGTGATCTTTTTGAAACCATCGGGTCATTATTATCATGAAAAAAAAGTTATGGATAACTTTTTGTGTAAACCACATGGTCATTTATCGAATCATGTTTTTTACTTTTCTCTTTCTTACATATAAAGTCTTACCTACCTTTTAACCACGAGCTCCCGCTCACCCCACCCAATTCTTGTGGGTGTAGGCCGTAGGATAAGATCTATCAAATGAAAAGAGAATCGAACCAAACTCAATATGGCAGAAAAATACGATAAATGGCCAAAGATATTTTTCCAAAGAAAGAGGATGAGGCAAAAAAAAAAAAAAAAAAAAAAAAGATATCATTCCATATTGTAAACATCTTGCATTATACATATTTGCACACCAACAATAAAATCAATATTATTCATAAAACACGATGATTCATTTCAACAAAACCAGTAATAATCACTTCACGAGAAACTGGCGTTGCGGCAGCGGTGTTGGTGGTTGTTGTGGTGGTGGTGGTGGTGGTGGCGGCGGCGGCAACACCAACAAAACAGATTCATGTTTGTTCCTCTCATGGAACCTCCGAATATAATCTGAAGCCACAAGATTCGTCACCGAAGCCTTTAGCTCACTCGATTGTATACCACTATACCAACTTGCATCATCTGCTATTCCAATATCCGAGTGGTTGATGCCCTGAATCTTGATGAAAGAAGAGCTCCCTCCTCCATCTGAACCATCCGCATGGCGGCTATTTGGTGGTTTCCTGGTCGGGTCCTTGGGTTGTTTGACTGTCGGGTGGTGGCTATTTGGTGGTGGAAGTACTGAACTACTTGATCCAGCATCAGTTCCTTTTAGGGGACATGATGAGAGTTTGAAGAAGCTTCTCATTAGTTGCATAAGCTTCTCACACAATGATGATCTTTTCTTATTCATGGACATGTTTGAAGTGGATTTTTAGTAATATTATATAGAAACCCACATGCGTATCTAAATAATTAGTGTAGGGACATTTCGTATTCGATAAGAAATAGAAAAGGGGTTATTCTGTGGGGCATATATATTGATTGCTAAAACTAATTGCTTCAGAGTATGAAAAGGTAAAGGCCTTTTTTTGTTGAAAAATGAATGTTAAAGTGAAAGGGAAGGGTAAAGGAATAAACTTTAGGGAAACAAATCCAAATCCAAGGGAACCATATAAATGATGAATGAAAAGTTACTATTTGTTAAATGTGTCGAAATTCTTATTTATTTTCATTCACTTCTTTACTTCTTATATTTGTTTTACCCTAACTATGACTAGTGTCTTTCCACTTCTCTAAAAAGTTTACACTTATTTTTGTCAAATCCTTCTATAAAAAGAAAAGTTACAGCTACAAAGAAAAGTTACGGTTTTCTGCTTCCTACAACCATTTAGTTTTACCAAACATATCATATATGTTGTGAGAGTTGTCCTCATAAATGATAGTTACAAAATATTTGAGAAAAACGTTTTAACTTTCCCGGGTATATTTTCTTTTTGGATCTTTTGAATAAAGAAGCAAAAACTTAATGAAGTGAACAACTACATTTGATTCCATTTCACTTTCAAGAGGAGACTTTAAACAAGATTCTTGAAATACTATTTCTGTTTTATCTGTTCTCGATTTCACAATTATCTCTCAACACGCTTCCTACAAGTTTATTTCCAAAATTATACATAAATGTCTACTCCGAGTTTAATTGTAGATAATAAGAGACATGTCTTAATCTAGTAAGCTATATATAACTGTATCTTTTTTTACTAAAAAATCGAAGAGCAGATCGCAATTCAAGAAAAAATGATACCAAATATCAGCTTTCATTATAAAAGTTATCTAAATCACATCATGCCAAGATCCACAAAGGTTATCAAACAATTATATCAGTTAAAAAACAGAGAACAAAATAACATAAATCAACAAGTCAAGAAATCAAAATATACCATCTTTCCCAAAAGCTAGTCTCTGTGATGATGATCTTGTGTCGCGTATTTCACCGGAATATCATCAAAGTGTCCCGAAAACCCGTGTGCTTCCCCCAAACTTTTCAAAGACTGAAAAACATTATACATCGAAGGCCTTTCTTTAGGCCTCGAAACCACACAACTACAAGCAATCCTTAAAAACTGCAAAATCTCATCATCGTGTCCTTTCCCACGTATACATTTATCAATCACATCCTTACTTTTCCCCGACCCCACAAGCCGATTCACCCACTCCGTCAAATGACCTTTATACCCTCCTTCCTCTCCATTATTTACTTCAAGCGGTTTTTGCCCGGTTAAAAGCTCCAAAAGTACAACCCCAAAACCATAAACATCACCTTTCATTGAAGCAACCATGGTGGATGAATACTCGGGGGCCACATAACCGAATTCGCCCAAATCGCCGTTTTCAAACGAACTATTTTTCGAATCGCGGGCCCCCACGAGGCGGGCCAGCCCAAAATCGATTATCCGGGCTTCGAAATCATCGTCCACCAGAACCACATTTGAGCTTATGGTTTGGTGAAGGTAAGGTGGTTCACAGACATGGTGCAGCCAGGCTAAACCACTGGCTGCACCAATACCGATCTTGAGTCTGGCTGGCCAGTCAAGATCGGTGGTGGTTTTGTTGGTGGCGTATAGAAGGGAATTTAAACTCCCATTTGGCATGTGTTTGTATACTAGAAGTTTTTCGTCTTCAACTATACAAAACCCTAATAATGGGACTAGATTTGGGTGTCTTAGTTGCCCTAATCTGTTCATTTCGGATCTGAACTGTTTCTCGTTGATTTTACATGGGCTTAATCGTTTGATTGCTAAAACGGATCCATCCTGTAACATTGCTCTGTAACAAACCCCTGTTCTTGTCGTCATTTCGATGGTGTTTGGATTGAAATTGTTGGTTGCAGCTAGTATGTCATTCAGTTTGATTTTGACGATGGGTTTTTGAAATAGTGATACCTGAACAAGCCTGTAAGATCTCAAGATATCAATCCAATTGCCTCGATCTTCACCACTGCCAGCATCACCACTCTTTCTCCGATCAGTTCTCAGAAAGAACCACCACCAGATCGCAAACCCTAGAAATAAAGATGCAGCGGCTCCTAGAACTCCAGCAGCTATAATAATGGCGAGATTTTTGTTATTCAAACTCCCGCATTTCGAATTAAGAGGTTGACCACATAATCCATTGTTTCCGGTGAAGGATTCGGCTTCGAACTTCGATAAATCGTCCGGAATGGAGCCGGAGAGTTCGTTGTTGGAAACGTCTAGCTTCTTAAGCCTCTCAAGCTGGCCGATCTGGTACGGAATCGTACCGGAGAAACTGTTATCGGATAAAAGGAGGTTGTTTAAGAACTTACAGTTTTGAATCTCTGGCGGAATGTTTCCAGATAGAGAGTTCCCGGAGAGATCTAGGGTTACTAGATACGGCAACCATGTACAGATTTGAGGTGGAATGGAACCGGAGATCGAGTTTCTCGACAGATCGAGGGACTGCAGAGAACGGCAAAACTGTAGGGAGTCCGGTAACGAACCGGAGAGTGAAAACTCCGGGAGTTGGATGGAGATGAGCCGGTTTTCTTTCTCGTTCCAACACGAAACTCCGACGAGTTTGCATAAGGAGGTGACGGAGTCGTTGGTGAATGACCATGTGGTGAGCTTGCCTTGTGTATCTGTGAGTGAGGCTTTCAAACCACGAAGGCACCTTACATCGTCTTCCATGGCGGAAACGCCGGCGACAATGGTGGTGGCGATGACGATGAATAGGAAAACGGATTGGACTTTCATGGTGGGTGTTTGTGCTAGGGTTAGTTTTGAGGGTTGGGGTGGGAATGGTGGGGAATCCATGGGTACTGCCATGGATGTGATGGAGTCTTGTTGGGATTTGGGAGGAGACAGATGACAGGGATGAGCTGTTTTGACTACTCACATCGCTGTTTGACTGTATTCTTTTTTAAGTCAGAGATTTTTCTTTTTGAAAGGAACGGTTTGTTTTGTGGTAAATATTTGGAAAGTTTTTAAAGACGGGGAAAACTACATAAAAACATAATTATTTATTTTTTAATATTTAGAAAAATCATAATAGTTTGTTTATAGGCGTAAAAATATTTATATTTTTAGTTATAACCAAATATTCGTTTTTTTAAAGACATATTTAATCAAATATTTGTTTTTAAGAAGTTGTTTTGTAATATGATATTTATGTTGTTTGTTTTTAGGTTGACATAGACAAAAAAAATAATAAACAATGTCATTTATTTTTGTTTAAGTAAATGATCTATTTTCACGTTTTATCTTAGACACAAGACAATGTCATTTATTTTTGTTTTCATGTTAACCTAAAACGAAAAAGATAAATGTCATGTCACAAAACAACTACAATTTCTCTAAAAAAACCGGATATTTAGATTAATGTGAAAGGTATATGAAAATATAAGGGTATTTTTGTATATAAATAAGATGTAAGGGTTGTTGATAGATAAATGATTGTGTTTTGTCTACACTTTGCCCTTCAAGGAAAATACAAATTTGATCCTTTGGTTATTAACTTTTTTGTTGTTTTAGTCGAAAAAAATTGTATTAAGATAGATGGTCCAAAATCATATATTTGTTGGAAACAAAATATTTAACATACATTTATCATAGTACAAAAAAAATATTATATTAAGCCCAAAGATATCAAAATGGGTTTTTATTAACAATCATTGCATATTAAACTCTTAAAGATTAATTACTAGGATCAAATTGAGTTTAAAATGGATTTACAATAGAGCCTTTTACAAGAAAAATTATTCAATCCCACGTAACACCTCTTATTAGTGTTTGTACAAATACAAGAAAAAGAAAGGTCCTGGTAAAATTAATAGCCACTTTAACTCTTAAGCTTCATCACACGCTTGCTTGAAGATTTTTCAGTTTTGTCTTTAGATCGTAGCAAACCTACAATTACATCATATGACTTAGGGCATATCGGAGGGTCGATCCACCTAATAAATTTGCACTTTGAATTGAATTAGACACATAATTGGAATCCCCTTCCTAGGTTAAGATTCATCGAACAAGTAAACTATATGTTGGGTTCCACAAGAACAAATCATCTATTTCGTCAATTGTATTTTTAGGGAAAAGTTTAAGTTTTGAGTAAAAAGGAAAGAAGGTTGGAATAATGTTTAAGATACAGGTGAAAGTTACATTAGTATCATAAGAAGGGGAGTAAGGAAAGAAGAAATTACCCTCCCATGAGAGGCACATATATACACTAAACGACATAAAATAAAAGGAATGAACCTAAAGGACTAATGGTGCAACCGTTTTGGAACCCTATGGGATATCCACATTAAAAATGGGTTTGAAAATGGGACTTTTTAGAAATCATAGGGATCATTTATATAATTTAGGCAACTTTTTATTACTATTTTGAAAATTATGTAATAAAAAAAAATCTTTCTTAGAGAAAATTACATTGTTTTGCTAGTGTTGTACTACACTAATTTGTTAAAAAAAATGTTTCATTCGCCGTGATTTTACTTCAATATTTGCTTAAAATTATTTGATTTTTTATGGGGTTGTTTGAGGTTTATTTGTTAAATACTTTTGAAGCTTGAATTAAACATAAAGAGGTTATATCTACCGATAAATGGTGATAAACAATGAAGTAAAATAACATCCCAAAACATTTTATGTAGTGTGAAAAGTATGACCTATTAGGAACGAAAATGAAGTTTAATTAATCGATTTCATTTGTTTTATGACAGCTTGGAAGGAAGGTAACAAAAAAGTTCAATACGTACCCGTTGATTTTTGTAGATTTGAAGGAATTCTTGAGAGAGAGAGAGAGAGAGAGAGAGAGAGAGAGAGAGATGTTGGTGATTTTAGTGTGTAATTGGAACTTACATGTGAGTTAAGGGGTTTCGTAATTTGTACTCTAATATATGTTTGGGTATGTGCGGAGTGCATGTATGTATAAGATCGAATTAGAAGCCGGTTCGACGACAAGTCGGGGGTCTGGGGGCAGCGCCCCTAGGTCCGGGGTTTCCAAAGGGGTAGCTCCCCTAGCGGGGTCCAAGGGGCAGAGCCCCAAAACTCTACGGATTTTACAAGTGGGTACATAGTGGAAAAATCAAATTCTTGAGGGTGAATATAGTAAAACTGACTAAGATCGTCAGTTTTGTAAACCATTGAATTCCTTATTAATTTTAGATTCCCTTGGCTTGTTTCCAAAGGAGCTCATGACGTCCAACCCCTGAAAGAAAACCCTACAACTCGTTTTATATGTAAACGACTCTCCTCTTGAGGGGAAACGATGACTGGTAGCTCTCCTTTTCTTCATACAAACTTAGAATCTTCTAGCAACTTGACTTACGGTTCGGAAAGATTTTACACGATCCAAGGGATATCCAGATCTCCACTATAACCCTACCCAATTTCTAACAAGAGATTATCTCTTTACTAACGACTACCGAATGTTAAGGGGTGGGAATTGTTGTTTCCATTCCTCCATCTTTTTTGTACATGCTAAAGCTACATTAGTTTTTTTCTCTCTTCCCGTTCCATATTTCAACCATCCCTAAACCATGGAAATGATCATCTTTTTATATCACATCTTTAGGTACAAGACATAATGAAAGTGATACACGTCTTTGAAGGGAAACAGTCACAGAAGCCATTAGCCTCTATATGTCGAGAAGACTACAACTCTTAAGAAGGCCACAACTTGTTTGGTTTCAATAAGAATATGTATGATATTAATTGATCCTTCCTCGTTAGTTAAACAAAAAATATATGTTTTGGATTTGGGACCATATATTTTTTCGCATTTAAAAATTTTGAATTTGTTATAATTTAAAATCAAATGATTTTAAAAAAAACGGTATTTATAAATTACCCTAGCAATAGATGTTTCAGAAAAGTATTGTTACCTCTTTAAGCTTCCTTTTGATGATTCAATTCCAAACTTCAAAAATATCTTCAAGTGTTCTTTATATAATCCTTCCTCTACAAAAATCTATACTCTCACTCCGTAACTATACCTTGATCGATTAAAAAATGAAGGAGAAGAGGGTAAGAGGGTGTTAAGTTATAATCTTTGACCATATGGCATATAATGTCTTTCAAGTTTTAAGTTTCTCACTAACATGCCCAACTAACCTCCATTAACCCAACAAGTAATTTATTTATTTATATATTTTTTAATTCAATTATTTTTATTTAATTAATTTTCAAAACTTTAATTTTACTAAAATGAACAAAAATTCTAGTCCTAAATGCTTAGTGATATATAATCCCTTTGGTAAGATGTAAGGCGGTACACATGTTATGTATAAATCCTGATATCTAGTATATCTAGAGTATTGTGACTGGTAGATATTAACATAACCCAAGTACATTTCATTAGGTTTCTATAAGAAAATTTCTTAGCACTTACGAAGAACTTAAGCTTATTCTTAGTTTATGTATAATTAGATGGTGAGATAAGCATAAAGTGATACATTGATGCGAACTTCCAAACTAATCGATATGATTATTTATTGTTGGACTATGTCTTTATCATGAATGGAAATACGATTAATAATAACTGATCACATTCATACTATATGTAACAACCCTCGCATGGGCGTATTCGAAATAGCCTTTAATAAAATCTTTTAAAATAAATTTAGAGTTTTAGTTTGCAGAAAACGGTTCCAAATTTTAAATCAAAATATTTTTCAGAGTTCAAATGTGGATAATGGTCTCAATCATAAATTCCCAAACATTTCATACGAGAGTGTCACAACATATATCAAACCAAAGGTTTAAGGAGTCATTACAAACCAAGAATCTTCTAAATATCCAAAGTTAATAAGTCTTTTAAGCTTCTGACAATATCTACTAACTTGCAAAAAAATTATGAACGTAGTAGGTATGATCACAAGATTAGATATTATAGACGGTGTATGAATGAACACTTCAATTCATACACCATTGTAAAAACCCATACATTATCGAAACAATAATCAACATCAAAAGTTAACTTGGGAGTAAAATATGACATAAGTCAAATTACATTGTCATTAACATCAAATATCACATGAACTTTACAAGTAATAATCAATAAAAAGTAGTTGTACCTCAGTTAGCCATTTCAACAATCAAAATCCAAACAAGATCATATATATCAGTAAATACTCATATGAGTTTCAAAACATTTAGATTTGATAATCCGATGTAAATCAATATACAAAAACCTTATACTTCTCCAAATATATTTTTAGGAAGAAACAATCGAAATAGATAATGCAATGCATGCAACTATCTCAACCCAAATCTATCTCAAAAGTCAAACTCATAGGTGGCTCAAAAGGATACAATGATGGTAATAGTTAAATTGAAACAAAGGAGCCACCACCCATAGTCGATGGCTCAAGTCGGACACTTTAATGGTAATTTGGTTCAAAGGCAAGGGAGCCACTAGAGGGGGCCATGGCCTCCCCGCTTTTTGCTCTCCTAATTAAGGGTATATATAATCAAGTTGGAAAAGAAATACCAGAATGATTAGCTTCCCCCGGTTTCTAGATCATTGTAATATAGTATATATACCTAATATATTAAAATTATGCAATCTAGATATTAACTAAAACAATATATAACCGATAACAAAATGTTTCGGAAGATCATCAACCAAATAAAACACAAACCTTAATTTTTTTAGGAATCTGTAAATAAGGAAATAAATCCTTATTAAAATCTATAAAAATCCCAAGATTAAATCAAATACAACGATTTAACTCAAACTTTTAAGAAAACTAAAAAGTGTAAACCTAAAACCCCAAATTTTATATCGGCCGCCGCAAAAAACCTTCTCGAAACTCACCGGAAGA